GAAAAATCATTGGTCTCACGTGAACCCAACCCTATATATATATATATAGACTTGGGATCATGTGAGACCAGCCTGTTTTCGTGAGACCCGTGAGACCAACATTTTACACTTGAAACTTCACAGCAAAATGCTGTGAATGTGACTTTTTAAAACCTTCACAGTGTTTTTGCTGTGAAGGTTCGACTTTTTTTAAACCTTCACAGTGTTTTTGCTGTGAAGGTTACGTGTAAAAATGTGGTCTCACGGGTCTCACGAAAACAGACTGGTCTCACGTGAACCCAACCCTATATATATATATATATATATATATATATATATATATATATATATATATATATATATATATATATATATTGTGGTTAATTCGTTAAAAACTTTAAAATTTGTGAGATCTGTACAAAAATTTACATTAGCATTTTATTTCAACTAGATTTTTTTTCCATCCAAGTATGATATATAATGTTTCATATGTATTCAATTCACAATTGAAAACTTTTTTACGTGTACTTTTTGTTTCACAACATGCCAAAAAGATTCAAACTATGAATCTAGTACATGTGAAACAAACACATTGTAAAACAAATATATGTTAATCATTACATTAAATTTTTGTTATAGATGAAAAAGACATACGATGCATTGCTTCTCAGAGATTTCACGATGTAGAGGGTTTCTAAAAGAAGGTTCCGTTATATATGTATTTGTGTCATCGGGTTTGGTTCAGGAACAATTATGAAGGACTTGAACCAATTAGGGACTAGTCCGACCGATGACCAACTTTTGGCCATCTATAGTCACAGATGAAGAAGACCGACAACATGGATGAGTTTTTTCTATTAAATTTATAGCCTTGTCATAAAGATAGAGACCATTTTTTATTATTAGCTTATTAGGTCATGAGGTCACGTATTTAAAAAACAATTCATAGAAGGTCATTTATGTAAATTTCCCAAATTTAATTTTGTCTTTGTGAGTATCACGAGTAAGAATTGATGAGATCATGTACAAATCTAGAAAAATCGGTCCCCATGCAATGGATTGACATTAAAATACACTTTAAACATTATATTTACATGAAAATGATTTTATTAGAATTAGTAAAAGCATGAAAAACATTCAGTCCTCATCATAACCGATCACGAGCAGGGGGGGGGGGGGGGTTTCCACGTATTTGATCGTCTCTATCCATCACTTAACTCACTTATACGAACGAGCTCCACTAGCAAGTTGACTGATGAATCATAATAGAGCGTCGCTAAGTGCTGTATAAAATTTTGCAACGCTAGAAGCAAGTACACACATGCCACGGAATCCGTTAGCCCTTCTTAAATCTATCGAATGGCCGTTATCCATTAACCTAACTTATTAATAAAAGTACAAACTTATCTTTAAGGTGGCGTTTGGTTCGCAAAATGTTTTTTGGATGAAATGAATTTGACTTTGAAAGAATTGAAATGAAATGTTGTCAGATTTAACCACCTGTTTGGTTGGCAGACATTGGAATGGAATATGTTAAGAAATTGGAATCTATCTGTTTGATTAACATAATGTAGCTTTGGAATTGTAATGAAATATTGGTAAATGACCAAAAATGTCCTTTTTGAAAATTTTAAATTTTTTAAAACTAAAAAATACTTTAATAAAATAATCGTTTAATGTGTAAAACAATATAAATACACAACCAAATATAACCATAAATCAAACGACGTTATTAAATCGATATATTAAAATTTTCTCAAATAACTTATTCTTTATCATGTAAAATAGCTAATTTGGTGGTGGTCGGCGGTGATAGACAGTGGTTCAGATCGATGGTCGTCAACGGTGGTTCAGATTGGTGGTGGTCGACGGTGGTTCAGATGGCGATGGTCTGGGTGGTTCAGATGGCGGTAGTTGATGGTGATTCAAATCAACGGTGGTCGGAGGTGGTTGACGATGGTCATATTGGGTTTTATAAGATTAAGGTATAATAAGTTAAAAGTATATGTAGTTGCTAAAGATTGTTAAATTCATTTATTTATAGAATTTAATGATTCCTTTTGTAAAAAAAGAATAAACCAAACGAGATAAAAAAAATTATTAATAAAATTTAACATTCCAATTCCATTAAATTTCTACAAAATCTACAAACCAAACCCCCTTCAGCTCTTTAATATATTCCATTTTTATGTCAATCAATTCTTATCTTGTTTTTAGTGATATGTTATGAATTTAATTATGGTTTGTTAGAAAAAATATAAATAAGTAAATAAGAATAATAAAAAATCTTATATCGTTTATATGCACTTGTCAACTTGCCGTTGGAAAATTGTTTCTCTATTATATTATGCACTATTTTGTCCACAAAAATATGTTCAATTTTTATAATGTAGATTTTTCAAGATAAATTATATATTAATCGGGTAATTAATTTTATTAATTAATGAGATGATTATCTTTATATATTAAATCAAAATTAATGCATTTTCTTAGAAAATTCCATATTTATCTCTTTCTCTCTCTCCCTCTCTGTTCTTCTCTCTCCTATCCGTATTGACATACACATCGTACATATAAGGTGAACATATTATGAACACAATACAAACAATCTTAATAAATTGTTTAGTTTGGTGTTCACAAGTGGTATGTTTAGATTTAGTTCATTGATTTAGTTTGTGTTCACAATCTATACTAGATTTTGTAGATTTAAAGTGTTTTCATAATGTGTTCACAAACTATGATAATATTTATAAGAAAGTGTTCACAATGTGTTCATAAACTATAATAATATTATAATAATGTATGTATGTATGTATGTATGTATGTATGTATGTATGTATGTATATTATATAATTAAATTGCATTTTTGTAAAGAATAATTAAAAGAAAATGGTAAAAGGATGAAAATGGCTCTTATTTAACATGATTCTTTAACGATCATTAGAGTGAAGGACTAAACTCGAACGTTTTTTCGAATCACAATAATCATCTTATAATTTCAAAACTGCATTGACAAAAAGTGATTGACTAAATATGTACTTTATTCTTATAATTACAAAGAAAAACGCAATGTAATAAAATATAAATAAAACTAGATTTATTTTATAGTAAATTATGGATTTGATCCCTATAATTTGTTAATAATTTTAATTTTCTCTTATATGGTTTAAAAGTTGTAAGTTTTTATTTCTATGTTTGTAATTATTGTTATTCTTTTTCTCGATGGGGGCAGGGAAGGATATAACTCAGCAGTAAAATATCATCTTGACGTGGTGGAAGTCATCATACATGGACGGTAGTTGGAGTCGACGACTCTCTTAGGATTCCCTTATCGGGGATCTCTAGGGAAGAATCTTGATTTTTCATATTTTATTGCCTTGGACTGCTGCCTATTGGTACTAGTGGACTAGGATTGACTTGTTTATGAAATTCATAATAATACAGATACATGTCCTACTGCTGAATCACTCATGTTATGATCTTCTACATCTTGGGTCTTCCAAGGAGGGGGATGCCGAAGGCAGGTCTAGTGACTGGAGTGAGGTTGTAACAAGGTAACCGTACTTAGGGGTGCTCATGGGTTGGGTTGATCGGGTTGAGGACATTTGAACAACCCAACCCAATGCTTACGGTTTGGAAAAATCTTAACCCAACCCAACCCAAACCAAAGTGCAACCCAACCCGTACGGGTTAGTCGGGTTGGTCGGGTTGATACTTTGGTATATTAAAATATTCTTCTAACCTTGAATATGTTATTTCTCTACTCATAATTTATTTTTCATCATYAACCATTTGATACAACTTATTCATATTTCTTACGTATATCACATTCAGTTAATTTTCTCAATTTACATATATATGTTYAYAGTTACTGAATGAGTTATATAGAGATATGAATAGATTGAAAATATGTGTATATGAAAAGCATACATGATAGTGTAATTGTCTAATGTATATATTAATAGAAACTCATCAATCATATTAAATCCAAGAAATAAAAGGATATCGAGTTCATCGGGTTGGGTTGGGTTCAAAAAATATCAACCCAATATCAACCCAATACCTACGGTTTGACAATTTTACAACTCGATTAGACATCGGGTTGCTTCGGGTTGAGTTATTTTACGTTGGGTTGGGTTGGGTTGGGTTGATCGGGTTGGTCGGGTTGATCGGGTTTTTGAGCACCCCTAACCGTACTGCAGTCCAAAGAAACGAAAGAATCAGTTACATTTTTCATATGATCTTCTCGTATTTTTATGACATGATCCCTATATGTATAGAGGAATCGAAGTGACTCCTACTTCAGGTCTTGGATCGTTCTTAGATTAATTCCGATATCTAAGTATAAGAGACTGAAATAGTAAAAAAATTATAAACTACAAGAACTAATACAATAATAAATTGTATATCATAAGAATGAAAACCATAGACGGGCGAATTCATGTTGTTAGGGATGGGGTCCTGGGCCCCCAACAAAATTCAATCCACATAGTTTTTTTTTCTTCCTATTTATAGTTATATGTTTATCTGATTGGGACCCCTATAACCTAAACATGAAGGCCCCTCACTCCCACTAGCCCATGATTCCTTTGTAATTTTCCTTCTTCCACAGTCCACAGTCCACACAGACGCACACGACACATCGATTCCTTTATTATTTATACTTGAAATTAACATGATAAACAATTGATTTTTTATCTTGTTATTGCTATAAAAAATTGAAAGATGTTTTAAGGGGTTAGATTCGTAAATTAGGCCCCCTACAATATATTTTTCTTGTATCCACCACTGACCATAGATTAAAAATATAACAGACAATAGGGATGAAAAACGTAATTTAATCTGCAATTTTTTTAATAACAGAATAATTATTCTTATTCTTATTATAAATTAAAATATATAAATTTTCCCTTGTAAATATCAATCATATAATCATTAAAATAAGATAAATAAAAAAATTAAAATTATTGAGCACCATGGGCTTATATATATCCATGGCTATTCATTTCTTCTACACACCACAAGCAACCACACACTATCCGTCATGTTCTCCCCTGTCACCAGTCCCAACTCCCTCCGCCTCCGACCACCACCGCCACCGCCATTTCACTCCTCCCCAACCTCTCTGCCCTCTCCAACTTCTCCTAGCATCCGATCACCTCTTACATCACCTCTCTCCGCTACTGTTTACGCTACCGCCGAGACCACGTGCATCGCTCTCTCTCCCACCGCGGTCATTTCTCCTCCTTCGCTATACGAAATCCTAGGCATCTCCATGGGAGCCACCGAGGGTGAAATCAAAACCGCCTACAGACGGCTCGCCAGGATTTCACATCCGGATGTGAAGGATTCGTCTGGAGAAGAGTTCATGAAGATCCACGCCGCCTACTCCACGCTATCGGATCCCGGTAAACGGGCGGATTATGACCGGAGGTTGTTCCGAACGCACCGATCTCGTTCATACTCAAGTGTTAGACCGTCGTCTTCGTACAACGGATTTAACGGTTATAGTGGCCGGAATTGGGAGACAGATCAGTGCTGGTAGGGTTAATCACCATTGATTGATCTTAGAATCCAAAGTATATACTATATAGTATTATAATTAATTAACGATTAGAGTGTTAGTGATTGATCTGTAGGATAATAGATTTGCAGATATTGTATCGAGAAGGCTCGTAGATTATTGCTACTGCTTGTTTTATACACTCTCTCTTCTCTCCCAAACACTTGCAGAAATCAACCAAATATAGAACTCCTTTTTCTGTGTTGTATATATTATAAAATCTGTAAATTACTTTGAATTTTGCTATCAACATTTAGGCAAAATCCGTTGACTCAATATCCTGTTAAACTGTAATAATCTGTTCACCATATTTTGGAAGTATTCTGCATCCATTGCGATCATCAAGTATTACTAAATTCATAAGTACTCATGCTAATAGCAGTTTGATTCAGGATCGGACTTTGAGATTTCTTATTTCGTGTTTGTGTGTTTGAGATTGTTTATAAAAATAACTTATTGACTTATTTCGGTGTCATGTTAATTTGTATTTTTAAGTGTTTGAATAAACAACTTATATCGATGCTAAATCGATAATAAGAAGTTTTTAAAGAAGTTAAACCCTTTTAATTTATAATAAGTTGACAAGTTTTTTTATAAAAAAAGATAATCAATAATAAGTAATTGGATTGTAACCAACAGAACCATAATTGAAAATTCGTTGGATTTGAAACGGCTTCATCTCGACGGGTGAAATATAAACACGAAGCAATATGTGGGGGATAAGAACAAACTGATTTGAGGTTTTTGATGTGACTTCGCGATTATACATTTCATTTTTCATTTTTCATTTTTAGTCTTTGTAAGCATGTGGTGGGAGAAAAAGGAACTTCATTATTTAGTCGTCGTTGAAATAGTCCATGTATTAAACTGAATTACATTTTTAGTCTTTATGATTTAATATTTTTAACGAATCATGTCTTTGTTTTAAAAACTAACGAGTTGGGTTCTTGTAATTTGTATTTTCTTTTATCTAGTTGGGTTGATAATGCAATCAAAGGACCCAAATTGTTAATCTATTTAGGGATCCATTTTGTTAAGAAAATTTAACTGTAGGATCGACTCGTTAAAATAAATGCAACTATAAAAACTAGGGTTGCATATGGGTTAGATTGAGTTGGTCGGATTAAAGTTATTAGAACAACCCAAAACAAGGTTTGTGGTTTGAAAAATCTCAACCCAACTCAAGCAAACCAAATGGTGCGGGTTGTGTTGGGTTGGTCGGGTTGAAACTTTTGTATATCATTTTACAATATAGTTGAACGGTTTTTTAAAACGAAATAAAATCAAAATAGGAATATACAAATAAGGATAAGGATATGTTTCTTAGCAGCTTAACGAACTTAGGGGGTGTTTGGGATTGCTTATCAAACTGACTTATTAACTTATTTCAGTCTGGTACCGGAGATAAGCAGTTTTGTAGTGTTTGGGTAAAAAAAAAAAAACTGCTTATACCGGTGCCAAACCGGTAATAAGCAGTTTTTGATAAGTTAATCCATAGTGACTTATGAAAATCAACTTATTAYCGATTTACCATTTTAACCCTGTCTAATATCATTTATCCCTAATATCATTGATATCCTTCTCCAATAAACATCGATATCTTCACGTCGTCTTCTCCATCAGGAATCGATCTCTTCTTCTCCATCATCATCGCCCCTTCTCCAATCGATATCTCTTCTCCTCCATATATACATCATCGTCTACCAAYAAATCGATACCCTAACCCTAGAACGCTAATCATCGGCACTGTCATCGGCTYCAACTACTCTAATCGTCGGCACTGTCATTAAGCTCCAACTACTCTAATCATCGGCATTGTCATCATATCAGACAGGTAAGCCTAATTGTATGGTTTTCTTTTATGGTTTGAATTGGCTTAGAACTCTTGAATTTTGGTAATGTGTATGGGTTTGAACATTTTGGTAATTGCAGCTTATTAGGGTTTGTTATTCCCAAATCTTTTTTATATGAATTTGATGCAARAARAAWTATACATTAGTTCTGCTGTAGAAATATGAAACTTATAAACAAAATRYTTAGGCTTCAAAGAACTTTCTGAATGCAGAAACTAAGAAAGTGAAGGCAAGTATTTAGCATAAGGTATATGGTCTTTAGAGACATCTTCTTGCCTTTTAAGCCAATATTTAGAATTTCAAAGATACTCTCTTAASTTTTTCAGCTAAGTTGCTGTCCTATTTTATTTTTAAATAAGGTCTTTCGGTGTATGTTGTTTTGGTTACATTATTTTAGATTAGCAACCTTGTCCGGCTTCTATCTTGCCAATATTCCGAATTTAGTYAAGTTTTCAAGTAATGAACCAAGGAATCTGATACAGGCTGGGGTTTTGGGAARTCCTAGTTCTATTTTAATGGTTTTTTGTTGTTAGACTTTTTTCACTCYAGTGAATACCTATAATTCTTCCATCAATTGCATTTCCCTTTGAATGGTACTGCCAAGAGAGGATCCATGTCAATTCTTGCCTCAATATTTAATCTATTAGCTGTCATGTTGTTTGGCAGATGGTCCAAATAAACAAGCAACCAAATAACCAAAGTCCAAAACTCYAAATAACCAATAACCCAATTGAAATATCAAATAGGTTTAGAAAATCACTCAAATGGTCAAATCATTCGAAGATATCACACTGGTATTTGTCCAATCACATAGACCCARCTCCCATATTTTCATCCTCTTGTACATCTAGACTTGATGGTTTATGACCATCTGCCCAAACTTGGTCTTAGTTAAATATCATCATCTAGTTTTATATGAATTGACCACCASATTGATACGAAATCCAATTAGTTTTTCTGTTTTGCCTGTTGTGTAAATAGTTGAATGTTAATTGATCCTTTTCACGACAGACATTGATTTTTTTGTTTGTTTTTAACTTTGAGACGTGAGCTTATTTATTTCCAGCAATAGCAACTATTACACGATCATTTTACTTGGGTTGCTGTAGGAAATATCCCATAACAAGATYATCCAAAAACTCCCCCATCCCTAAATACTTCATTCAAATCTCAATTATTTTCTCTAAACAAATGGGTTTTAGCTTGTAGGACCATGCTTATGGGAGTCCTAATTATTTTTTAGGATATTTTGAAATAAAGGATTTAAGAATATAGTGCTAGAGGATTGCCATTGGAACTCATTTATACAACATAATGGAAACTGAATACATTGGTGGTCTTTTTATTAACTTTGTTATTCAGGTAATGGATGCGAACAATGCTCCCGTTGTTGCTAGTGATACATCTAAAAAGAATAAGCCAAAACTTGTTTGRGATAATACTACMTTTATGGTGTTCATTGATTTATGCATGAATGAGGTTAAACTTGGGAATAGACCTGGTAGTCACTTCAATAAGGTTGGGTGGGGAAACATAGAGAAGAATATTAAGGAACGAACAGAAAAATATTTTGACAAGAAGCAACTTAAAAACAAATGGGACACTATGAAGAAAGAATGGAAGTTGTATGATCGTTTAATGAGGATTGAATCTGGCATTGGATGGGATCCCCAGAGAAAGACAATTGTTGCATCACCAGAGTGGTGGGACGAAAAAATAAAGGTAATTACTATTTTATGTATATTCTTTTGTTTGGTATTACTTTTTTATGAGTTCCTAGTGAAATTTGCTAATAAGAGCCATTAACACACAGRGAGATAAAGATCTTGCCAAGTTTAGGGACTTAAATTTGGAGATTTATCAAGTGTATTATGAGCCTTTGTTCCGGGATTCTGTTGCCGTTGGAGATAAGACTAAGGCTCCCTTTGAATGTCAAAACAATAGCGGTCCAACTAATGTTGAAGATGAAGAAGATCATGAGGGRAAAGGAGATAGTGATGAAGTGAATTTAGGCGACGATGATAAACTTCTTTTTCCGCAAAGTAGTTCGAGTAAGAGGAAGAAGCCGAATAATGTCG